GGCTTCGTTTTTTGTTCACTGGGCAGTTCCTTGACTGCCCTTCTATGGGCAATTTATTGTGTGGCGTGCTCTGCTCTTCCAGGGTGCGGATATACCCCCTCGGGGATCGGGTCTAGTGGGCACTCAGATCTGCTCGGTTGCTGGTTCGTAAATGAAAACATAATTGTTGCTGTTGTCGTTAATTGCTAACTGAAGACCTCGGTGAACGAACTAAAAGTTTTGGCTTATTTGGCTAATTGGCTATTGCTGCGGTTGTTGTTGATTGATTTCGTTTTAGTATAAAAATATAAATCGTTTTATAAAAATTTATCGGTTGCTGGTTGCTTATTGGTTTATTTGGTTTACTTGTTTGTCTGCTTGTTGCATTGTATTGTACTATAAATTATCCCGGTTCGTGCGTGGCACGATCGTCTATTGCAAATGAAACTGTGGCATAAAATCTGATTCTCCCGCTTTCTTCGGTCACAATTCAACTATAAACACTTATGGATTAGTTTTGGTATTGGTTTATATGTATATATATTTATATTTGTATTTGATCATGGGTAAATATTCAGTTATATTCAGTGTAAAATTTGAACTCAGGATGGCTTAAGGACTCAACACAAAGAAATATCTCTCTCCTATCGCTCCCTACGTATATTATAGCGTATTATTCTTTGATATGTGTAGACAACCCAAAAAAAGTTGCTGCTGGAAGTGCTTTGTGCTGTTGTTATAAATGATCTCTTCTTCGTATTGTCGCTTCTAATTGGGCTTGTTGTTGTTCATATTTCGGTTTTTTTTTATTTTTTTGTAGCTTTGTATATTTGAGTAAAAATATTTATTGTGGTTGTGAAAAACTGTGAGAGATTAACTCAAAAATATCACATACGAGTTGTGTATGTTTCCCTGGCTATTGTTGGCTGTTAAAACTAAATTGCAAATTCTGCTCTTCCTCTTCCTTCGCTTCACTGTTATCGGTTACTAAGGTATTTGTTTATCTTTATCGTTGTTGTTTTTATTCGGTTATCGGTTTGTTTTGGGGTTTATGCAACTTTCTCTTTATATTTTTATACTTTCTCGTGTGCTTTTTGATGTTGTTGTGTATATATATGTATATCAATTTGAATTTGGAATTTCCATGGGCAACGTTCATTGTGGCCGAAATGTTGGGGTTACGTCATAAGCCAAAAGTTTTAACCTCTTCTTCATAAACTTCGAAACTAAGGATGCGTAAGATTGATTCCTGACTGATCAAATGAAAAATGTTAGTAACACTGGTTGCTGTTGCAAACTTTGCAAGAATTTCGATTGTTTAACTAAGTACCTTGGTGCAGGCGCACAGTGCATGCCGAAAGTATGCGCACTGTGCGCTGCTCTATTGCAGTTTATTAAATTAAAGGTGTGGTATGCAGCTGTGTGCACCACGACTTAATCTTCATACTCTTCTCTCCTCATCTCTTCTGTCTGATTCTTCCTACGCCAAATAAGTGATAAAAATTTGATTTCCAAACTGTTTGATTTTCGATTTCTTCTTGGTGTTTCGATTGTGGGCCAAAAGTTGTTGGGAATTTTGAGAATCGCGCTTGCTACTAAAAAAACGCAATTGTTTTTGGAAATATTTCATCGCCGTTTAAATAGATTTTTCGTTTCATTTTTCATTTTCGTTTTTTGTTTTTCATATTTACGTATATCAAAACTGCAAATTTCTGTGTATTTTAGTTTACTTCTTCCTTTCTGTCTTGTGATCAGATGTTTTCCAAACCAAGGATGTTTAACTAACTTATGGTTACGTTGAAATTGAAGTTACGAATAGATTTGCTTTGATTTACCATGGAGTATGTACCCTACGTGTAAGTTTGACTGATTTGCTTCAGTGTTTTGTGCGTGTGTGGGCTTGCCAAAGGGGATCTGCTTGATATATATACCGATTTGGGTTTGGCACACGTCCTATCTGAATCCCCTCCTCCTTCCATCAAACGGAAATCGATTTGCGCGCATTTTCAATGCGGTAAGGCGGTGAGTGAATATTTGCCTGGCCTTGGCCAGAATGACCTGTTTCAGGGGCTCTGAGTGGGTCGGGGGTCGCTTATGCTTAGACTGTAGTAATATTTTAATTACGTGTATGTAGTTGTATTTAAATGTCGCTATGTACAAATCTGATCAATTTCTGTTATCGGTTTTCTTTTGTTTTCATTCAGTATTCAGTAATCGGTAATCAGTAAGTTTGGGTATTTTTCTTTTGGTTTGCTTGGTATTGCGGTATTAATGCTTTTAAAATCTAGTTAAAATTGCATATGGCTGCGTCTGCATTTATATTTGGTAATTGGTTTACGTGTAGTAGGTATATACTTATCTCGCCTCCCATCGCTTTCATCGTCTGCCTCGATCATCTGATCGATTCGTTTTCGTTATCGGTTTGCGTGCAGTGTTCATTTATGGTTTTTAAGTTTAGTTATGCTGTGCTTTGAATTCGATTCTTGCTGCTGACCAACACTGGTCACTCGTTTCGCTGATTTGTTGTTTTGGCCGGATGTCCGTTGCCGTTTCAGTTTCCGGCGGTCGTTCTCTGTCTGGTTTCCTGCTGCTTCTGCTGCTTCTGGTGCTTCTGCTGCTCTTAATCTAAATGCTTAGGCTAACTTAGTTCCTTGGTGTAAACTGTACCTGGCGAGCCGCGGCAGCAGTTTGGCCAAAAAACGAGGAGCGAACTTTCTCTGGCCTATGGCTGATCTGTAATTCTTTTTGGAATTTCCAAACATCGAAATGTTGCTCTGGAGCTGGCGAAACTTAACTCACTTTTCGGGGGCTTCTTGAAAGGTGGGGCCGAAGTTTATTGGGCGTGGCTGAAGGCGGGCACAGCTGCTGACCGCGGCCGCCAGGTGTCGCATTCGCTTGGTTTGCGTCGCTCGATTAAAATGAATTATGGAGAATTTAGCTTACCCTTTTCGTCTCTGCGCTCCACCGATTAGTTGAGGTTTTTGTGGTGCCTGTAGTGGCTGGGTTTAGTGATGTGTGTGATGGTGGTCGTGTTGTGGTTGCCAATCAGTTCCAATTTTGCGGTGAAAAATGCCAAATGTGCTTGTGACGGAGGTTGGTTGTTTGGTTGGTTGGGGAGAGTTAAACCAAAAATTGGGTGGTTTATAAGCGGCCAAAAGGTGGGGGATAAATTTTGGTAAAGAAAAATCCAAGCGCCGTCATTTGTGTTTTCTGTTTTCTCAATTAATTTCGCTTTTATTAACCAATTATCGTTTGAGGCGGACCCTTTGCGGCCCGCCCTCTTGACTTGTTGACTTAACTTTAAGTATGTATGTTTATGTTAGTATAAATGTATGAAATATGTATGTTGCATTAAATATACGCAAGTGTAAGTGTGCTCCAGTGTCATTTGTTGGTACGCAAGTATATCGGTTCATTCGCCTTCCTTGAGGTAAAAAAAAAAGCGCTGACTAAAACTGATGGAAACTGAACAGAACAGAAAGGGTTGAGTGAGTTCTTAATTTTTCGTTATTTTGTATTGCTGTTAACTTCCTGAATTTCGACGGTCTAGAAGCGGTTGCTCCTCGCTACTTCAAATTTTGCTTAAGAATAAAATTTCGCCTAAAGTTTTGTTAGCCAAACGTTTACTGTTAATACGCCTTAAATTGCCTAAATGGTTTTCGTCTCTCAATTTCGCTCGTCTCGCAATTGTCAATTAACTATTTTTACATCAATCAATAATTTCGTATGGAGGAGTGACCTCCATATTGGTTTTATCCGAAACAATAATGCAGTTAGTTAGATTTTTAGTTTGTTGTTAGTTACTTTTTCTATCACAAAATCAGTTACAATTGTAATTAGATCAATTTAATTTCCAAATTTCATTTTCAAACTTCATTTTTAAATTTCAACTTCATTGCCAAAAGCCGCTTCCTTCGTAAATTTTGTAAAGGCATTAACAATCAACGCGTCACTCCTGGGGCCCTAAATCGGACTTGAATTTCGACTTCTGTCTGCTATGAAGGTGGGTGAAACTAAGGGGTAAGGTAACTCAATGCGATAAACTTAAGCTTCAGTTCGATTGGCGAATGCCTCTGCCTGCCTCTGTTGCTTTGTACGATTCCCTAAATACTAATTTCGCAAATGCATTTTTCATTTTCAATTATCCAAACTTCAATTTCACTTTTAATTTCGATTTGAAGAACCCTCGTTTCTTCCACTCGACCTCGCTTCTGGATTAGGAAACTCACCGTCTTATACGCGACTAATTTTGTCATAGTTACGCCAAAGTGCAATCAAATTTTGCTCAGTTTCCCCGTAGGGAACTCTGGTTAAGTCTAAAAAACTCGCTTAGTTCGTTTCAATTTAGTTTTAGCTAAAATTCAACTATTGTTCAATAATTTCGTGATCATTGGTGTGGCCGAAAGGTTTGCTGGGTTGCGATCTCGTCTGCTCCTTATAGCGGTGTTTCCATCCAATCTAATCTAATCTAAACTCCCACCAGAGGGCGCTAGGGTGCGGGGCTGGCTAACTTAGTAACTGACTAACTCACTAACTGACTGACTGACTAACTGGCTGGCTGATGGAGCTCGTCGGAGCAATTGTTGGGCCGAAATGATGGATTTCGCTTCGTTCGTTTTGTTCGAGGAATATGATTTTGTCTGTGCCAAATATTCAAATGTTTTGCATGCAGTTGATGATGTTGTTGCTGTTGTCGCGTTGCATCTGCAATCGAAGATGAGATATTGCAGCTGCAGGAACAACAGGGTTTGCCCGCCCCTGGCCCAAAATTCGCCGGACGGAGAGCAGGCAAACATATCCCTCTAAACCCGCCCACTTTCCATGCTGTGTCTGCTGTGCTGATGAGTGAGAAGTGCATGATCGATCCCAGCCAGCCAGAGATCGGGGACTATAATCGTATAAATGGTATGTTCTTTTAAAATCAAGAGGAAGAAAAAACTATATTTTTAATTGATATTTTTGGTGTTTCGTGTATATTTTGTTTTGTTGCAACTCAAGGCCAAGTAAAGTAAATTAATTAAACTAAACGTTAACTTAACTAAACGTATAAATTATTTACATAAATAACAGACTAGTGTGTGTGTGTTTGTGATGTGTTGGTGTGTATGTTGATTATTCTATAAAATTAAGATGCGTGCTCAAAAGTGGGGCACTAAGGTATAAGAATTGATTAAAAATAACCGTATTCAAGGGTTCGTGTTAACAATTAACTTTGGTCGAAGGTTCGCATAACGTATTGTAAATTATAAATTTAACTACCCTAACGCCCGCTGTTCGTACAAATAACTCTGGCTTTCTCATTAAAAATCTAAATAGTTTTCGCAATTTCTAAACTTTTTTTTTGGTAATTTTTTGCTTTTAGTTTCGCTTAATAGACATCAAATATATGCTTAGCGCTTAAAGGGTGGTTAAGGAGATATAGCAACCTTAGCTTTCGGGAGATTTTAAGATTAGCTCCCGATTTTTGCCCGCCAAAGCAGTGCCTGCTTTTGTAAAGCAGTGCGCAGCTGTGCGGGAGAGACTGCTTACCGGAAAGTCGATCGGCCAAGCAGTGCGGATAAGTCCACTTCCTGTTTGGCTAAGCGACTTTCGCTCTCTCAAATGAACACACACTTTGTACCGATGTGGGTGTGTGTGTGTGCGTGGAATGCGTGTGGTTATTGTGTTGGTGTTTTTTTTTTTTTTTTGGAATGTGTGTCAACTTTCGGTAGATCATTAGACGGCTCAACTATTTTTTAAATATTCATACGTATACGTAATATGCTTTAAATATTTTTAAAAAAATTTCAACTAACAAACCAACGGCGAGTACAGTTTACACTGCCTGTAAATTACGCTCGGTATGTGGGTGTTCTCAGGTGTGTGGCTCAGGTTTTTTTAGTTCAATTTGCACTATTTCACATTAGATTAAGACTTGCTGCTTTATGTTTAGTTTTGGTTTTGTTCAATCGGCCTGGGAGTCTATAATCTCACTGGCCTACTTTTTCTTCATATTCTGGTCGCTCTTTTGCTGAGGTTCATGTGTATTGTGTGTGAGTGTGTTTATAAGTTTGCGTTGTGTGGTTTTGGAAATTTTTGAAAAAATATTTTGCTCATTGTGTTTGCTTTCTAAACGCGTTTTCGACTCGTGTGTGTCTGCAAAACCCTTAGCTATGTCTAAGTTTCTTTCCTGTGTGTGTGTCTGTTGTGTCTGGATACTGTTTGTTTTTGTTTGGCTGGGGAGTTGGTCATATCCAGTCGTGTTTCCTGCGCAGGTTTAGCCTTTTAGCTTTGGTTTGCGCCGCGCCTTCGAATGGCTGCTGCCGGCCCTGGAGTTGGTGGTCATAGTGCTGCTGCAGGTGGTGGTGGAGGCCGGACTGATGGGCGGTGGCATTCCCAGCGAGTGCGGCAGTGGCAGCGGCAGCGTCGGCAGCGCCAACTCCTCCACTTATTCCAGCTGCTCTAAAAAATTGGGCGACTTGAAGTACTCGGGCACGGGATCGTCCATGCGCGAGATGATCTTGTATATGGACTTCTTCCACGACTGCTCGGTGTCTTTGCCACCCTGTATTGCACGGAAGAACTCCCGCAGAGTCGATTCGACCACGAAGCGGAAATTCTGGGGTACCTGTGGACCGATTTGATCACGATTAGCGACTGGCTCGCAAAGGGGTTTCGTCTGGTTTCATCTGGTTAGTGGTACGGTGGTTCTAACGCTCGCATCCACACACACTGTCTGAACAATTCTGGGAGTGTGTGTGCATGTGGAGTCGGTTTACGGGTTACGGGGGCTAGTGTTAGTGTTAGTGGGTGGGCGTGGTTATTGGCATACCTCAATGTGGTTATTGCGGTTGTAGTGCAAATTGAGCACGCGATACAATTCACTATCTCCAGCAATCAACAGATCATCGGGTGTCTTGATGCCTTCGGTGACAGCTTGTCGTGCATATTTCTCCATTTGTATGTAGTAGAATTCTCTGCAGATGCGTAGATGAGGAATGTTTGGTTTGGTCAGTATTCTGGTTTTCTTTTTTAATTCTATTCTATTTATATTTTTTGTTCAGCATTCAAATTTACAAAATCGCAACGCAAATGAAAGAATAATCAAGGTTCGAACCAAGGCGAGAGGTGGGAAAACAAAGGAGGAAAGTCGTAAAGTGGTAAACCAAATTCAAAGGAAATTGCTAATGCTTCGCTCGCTCTCTCTCTCTCTCTCTCTCACTCACTCACTCACTCACTCACACACACATGCTAGCTCGCTCACTCTGTGCCTAGGGGGTCCCTTAATGCATTATATTGGATAGCTGTTTGAGTATGACATTATTAATAATTCGCTGCATACTCTTAGGCGCGTCGTGTACGTGTCTGATTGTGTGTGTGTGGGGGTGTGTGGGTGTGTGGGTGGGTGAGTGTGTAAAGAATTTTTAATAAATCTCAAATGTGCAGCAGCAGCTCGTGGTGGTGCAATAACAATTGCAAGTCGAGGCGGCATCTTCTAGCTTCTGCGGTTGCTTTTTTTCTATGCCAGCACTGCCTTGGGGGTTGGGGATTTAATTAGCAAGTGCAGCGGGCTGCTTCTGCTGCTGCGACGCCTTGTTTAGTCAAGTGATTTGTGTGTGGGCTGCCATTCGCAGGGGGATACGTCGAGGATTTGGCCAGGGGTTAGGACGTGGGGGTGGGTGTATGCTTAACTTGGCGACTGTAAGTGATTGCTTGTCTTCCGGCCTGACTGCCTCTCCTTCTCCACCATCTCCTCGCTTCTCTTCTCACGGATCCTGCATTGTCTGCCGCGCACTAATTGTTGTCTTTTTGCCGGGAATCCTTTGGAGTCTATGCCCCCCTCCCCCTCCCCCACCATCTCCCATTGCCCCGCCTCTTGACAACGCTCCGATAATCGCGCTAATTTCAAGATTTCCCAGTAGCAGCGCCAAATGCATTTCTCATGTTGTGCCACAGCGCTCGTGTTGATTTTCCAAACAATAAGCGCAGAATGCGCAAATAGAAAATCTTTTCCTTTTGCCCACACCATCCCCAGCCCCAGCTCATAGCCACTCCCCCTTTGTGGTTCCCCGGAGGCGGCGGCACTTGAACAGCGTGGGTAGGTGGATGGGTTTTGGATGGCTTCATAATGAGGCTGATGGCTTGGCCTGGCCGAAAGAAAGGAATCGCTGTGTGACAGTTTTGTGTGACAGTTCATTGTGCCGGGTGTCCATAGTTATTAGGGATTGCCAGGATCTCAACCCCACTGCGTTAGGTTTGGTTCGGTTGGGTTTGGTTTGGTTTGAATTGCAATTAGCTTTGTGGCTGGCGTGAAAAGGAGCTTGAGGCGATCCTTATGCAACCACATGTGCAGGCAGGAAAAGGAAGCTTGGCTTGGCGGTTTCAAATGCGCCACTTAATTTAGATAATAAGCCGTGCAAGTGGAACTGCAGATGTGCAGATGCAATGGCGTTGGGGCTTGACGGAAGTGCTAATTAGTTTGCATATAATATTTCGTAGCCTATTTATTTGGGCCTCACCCACACACACACACACGCATAGGAGAAGAGTGAGAATGAGATGGAGAGGGAGAGGAGAGAGAGGCAGTGCCACTAAAACACTTGTTGAAAGGCAGGCAGGCGTTGCTTTGTCAAGTGCATTCATCTCATTTCTTACCCACGCTGCTCTCTCTCCCAATCTGCCTCTTACTCTCTCATTTCGCTTGAGTGTGTGCGTGTTAGTGTGCGCTTTTGTGTGCGTTTTTTGTTCGTGTATGCGTGTGTCTCCTTCTTCGCCGCACCTTCTTCATCACTTCCTCCGCAATAATTTACGTATCACGGATTACGGTTACGAATACGAACGAGTAGAATGTTATCAATAAGCTCACACATACTCACCCACACATATGCAGACATCTCTACCTCATACATTAATGAAGTAATTGGCAACACTTTTGCATTGTATCTATATATAAGCATCTGTACAAGTCATATACGTCTATATACATATACAGAATGGAGCGTGTATCGTATCTGAGTGTCTGGGTGTCGGAGAGTGTGTGTGTGTGGCATGTGTGAGTGTGTGACTTTATATAAATGTAACTGTTGTTGTTGTTGTTGTTCTCAGCAAGATCTTTTCACGCGACGAAGGATAGGAAAGAGCAGGGGAAGCTACTCTAAGCGCCAAAAGGACACTTAACCTCAAAAAAAAGGAAAGCGGCTCGATGAGAAACAAAACGCGGAAAAAGAACAGCGCGTATGTGGGTGTAAGTGAGTGGGTTGGCATGTGTGTGTGTGGGGCGTATCCTTGAGCGCCTTTTGCCAGTAGGGCCCTGGCCATTGTGCTCGAAACTCTCAAGTAGCTGCCGCCATGAAAAGCGGCCAAAGAAACCCACTGAATGTATCCTGGCAAACAAACTAATTAGCCCGCCAGGAGTCTGAGTGTGAGTAAATGTATGTGTGTGTGTGTGAATGCATGTCCTTTGCCGCTTTCTTTTCATTATTTGCATTTTGGCGAGCACAAAAAGAAGTTACTGCAGCTAATGCAATTATATAAGTGGCCTGCTTGAGGACCTCGAACAAAAGGCACTTTTGTTAATTAGCCAACACACGAACACACACACACATGTGCCAAGTGGGTGAGTGCCGTGAGTGTGTGTGTGTGTGCAAGTGAGTGTGAGTGGGTCGGGGCCCACTTAAGTAGGCAACACTTTTTAATAAGCCAGCGCCACAAGTTTCTTGGCCTCGCTCTCCGCTATTTTCACACTTGAATCTCCAGCTCGAGTGGCAGCTCATCCTCCGGACTCTCCAACTCATCTTCAGCGGCATCCTAAACGGGGGACCTAACCCCTTGCATTTTTCTTAAGTGGCCACTTTCAGCAACATGTTATTAGAGCACTCAGCCCCAGTATCTGTGTTCGGTTCTGTGTGCTATGTTCTATGTTCTATGTTCTATGTTCTATGTTCTATGTTCTGTGATCTGTGTTCCATGTGTGTCTGTGAGTGTGGGAAACTCATAATATTAACTAGTGGCTTAGAGAGAGCAAAAAGCTGTTACAAGTATTCATTTCCTAGGTTAATTTAGGGGGAAAACGATTAAGAAGGGAAAGCATTTCCCCGAGAACAAAGGCGAACCGAAAGGCGAAATCAAACTAAAGAACTCAATGTGAGAAAGGAACGTAAATAACCGTTACATCCCGGCTACCCCTAAGAAAACGGAAACAAACAATCGAGAACCAGTTAGGAAATCAAAAAAATATTCCCACCCATTTTAACCTCTCGCCAAAAGAAGTCGAAGTCGAGGGCAAAGGCAATGGCAAAGACAAGATGCCAACTCCCCGATTCCCATGCAAAGTAGGGTTTACTATGCTATCGTAAAAGGGATTGCAACCCCAAGAAAATTCCGGCAAACTAACGAACGAAGAAACCCCGAGCGTGCCGGGTCTTGATTTGTTGTCTTTTTGTGTTGCTTGTGCGCAGGTAGGGGAATTTCTTAGGGTGTCTCGCGGACAATTCCTTAAGACGTTGCGCATGTCTTAGACAAATCGGAGACGGGCAGCTGCTAAGCCGTCGATGAAAGAGGGTTGAAAGGTAAATCCAGGTGAGACCCTGTGCCACGCTCTGTGTTTTCTCTACTTTTCTCTGTTTTCCCTTTATTTAGTTTACGTTTTCGGGGCGGACAGATGCGGCCCGGATTTGGCGCGCAAATCACAACGACTGCATGCGGGCCTACCTCACTTCACTGCGGCTATGTTCCATTCAGAACACCCCATATCCACATCCATCTACTTCTCCATTTCCTTACCCGAAATAACCCGGACTATCTGGCAGCTGTCGTTTTTCCATAGTCTTTGTGCACTTTTTGGCAACTTCTTGCGCAATTTCACGGACTGACAGTTGGAGGCGCGGAATGACAGCCGAATGGTGTTGCATGTCCCCGGAGACTTTATTCTTGAGTGCAAGTCGAGGGTTTCGACAGGTGGCAGTCTCATTTTGGGGCAATCAATTTGTAACAAACCCCAACTTAAAAGTTGAAACTCAGGCGACGAAACGAAATCATAAATATGAATGCTGCTCAATGGTTATCAATATGACTTAGGGCTACAATTAGATAATTGTTAATTGCACAACTTACCGGAAGTTCGAGAACCATTTCACCAATTGTGCTGTGTTGTTCTTGTTGAACTTGATGTCCGGGAAGTACATCTTGAGCACCGCGGAGCTGGGATAGCGCACCCAGAAGAACATCAGCTTGGCCTTGCGCAGGTGCATCGGTGTCAATGTAGAAGAGTGCAAAGGAGTCAAGGATTCGCAATGTCTGGTGGCGTTGTGGTTGTGGATATATGTAGATATAGATATATATGGTATATGTATGAGATATGTGTCGAACGGATGGTCGATTGTCTTTCCAAATTTCCATGTTCGTGTGTGGCAGAGCGAGATGGGGATTCGATTGGATTGCCAATGTCTAACGTGGCTGCACTTTCGAGTGCCAATAATGAATGTCTAAGGGTGCCACCGCCCCAAGCCCCTCCCACCTTAGCCCACTGATTGAAAAAGCTGAGCTGGAAATACTGAAAGGGGCAGAAGGAGGCGTAAGGGGGCGAGAGGCGGGGGGGCTAGTAAGAGGCCAACGAGTGCAGCTCTTTCGATTGGCTGCTCGTCATTGATTTTTTCCATTTCTGTGGCTGTTGCGAAATGCAACTCAAGCCAGGCCAAGTCGATGATGATGATGATGACGACTTGAGGGTCTTTGGGGGCTTAAGTGTGCGGCGGGGCAATAAATAAGGTTTTGATTA